CCATATAAATTTGATGAATTATGGCTCTGTCATTCTTGAGAAGAAGATTTTTAAAGAATTTTCCTATATATTTCTATGTAAAACTTTGGTCGGCCATTTTGGCCCCGCCCTACCCCTGGGGGTCATGATTTGAACAAACTTCAATCTACACTACCTGAGGATGTTACCCCATAAGTTTCATCTTTCCTGGCACAGTGGTTCTTGAGAAGAAGATTTTTAAAGAATTTTCCAATATATTTCTATGTAAAACTTTGGTCGGCCATTGTGGCCCCGCCCTACCCCCGGGGGTCATGATTTGAACAAACTTGAATTTACACTACCTGAGGATGTTTCCCCATAAGTTTCATCTTTCCTGGTACAGTGGTTCTTGAGAAGAAGATTTTTAAAACATGCCACCAAATTTTCATTAATTCCCAATTATCTCCCCTTGAATGAGGGCGTGGCCCTTCATTTGAACAAACTTGAATCCCCTTCACCCAAGGATGCTTTGTGGCAAGTTTGGTTGAAATTGGCCCAGTGGTTCTTGAGAAGAAGTTGAAAATGTGAAAAGTTTACAGACAGACAGACAGACGGACGCCGGACAAAATGTGATCAGAAAAGCTCACTTGAGCCTTCGGCTCAGGTGAGCTAAAAAAAAAAAACTATTTCTGAGATGAATGTGAATATACTGAATCAAACATTCCCAGTAAATATGGAAGTGTTTATTACAGCATACTTATGTAAATATATTTATGAAATTTGCAATCAAACTCCTGAATGTTAAACAAAACATTGACCTTACAGTTCATGCCATGGTCAACAAGCATTTTTCTTATGTTGGAATGAGGGATAGATGAATTGAAGCTGGATTACTAAGATGTACATACACTTTTGGTTGGATCCATGTTTTCTAAGAGAAACTGGGCACAAACTTGGAAGGTACACAGGGCTCTTTCTCTCTCGTGGTTGTGTGTGGACAACAGCCATGGAACAAGGTGCTGAAAAACATTCAGAAGTTTCCAATTACCGGTATTCTTAAAATCATTCTAACAGTAGTGCAGGTACTCAGTACTTTGACCTACAATGTTGTACCTAAAGAACTGTTGAGATCTTTCTTAATGTGGCCAATCAGTTCTATACAGTAAAACTCATAATAATGAAGTCATTGGGACTTATGAAATGAGTTAGCTTTATCCATAGTACATTATATCCATATAAGGAATTCTTTAATTTTGTACAGCCAGGGATCCAAGATAACTTCACTATATCAGTGAATCTGAAATATCCCTGTTGGTACTAAAGGAGTTTTACTGTACTCCTTGCTATGAAGAAGTCACTCAATAAGGTAGGGGTTATAATTACCTTAAATATGGAGTCCAGCCCCTCAGTGGTGAGGTCCTTATTGAGAATTTCCCTCAGCAGATCGTAAAGCGCCTCAAATGAAGACTCCAGTAAGACCTCCACCTCTAGTTCTACCTCATCTTTACCCTTCTTCACTGCTGCGCCCTCTTTTGGCAGAGGGTACAAGCAGTCAGTGGCTGTTTTAATCAGGTCAAATTCCTCTGCCTCTGACAACTTAGGATCTAGTCTACTGCAGTGGGGTTAAGGTTATATAAGAGGTCATAGTAAAGTTATACTTACCTCTAATATGTTGATGGTGCGACCGTTAGGGCGAGTGCAGATACTTAATATCTAGTTTTCATTTAGATCGGGCTTGTCAAACCGCACATGACATTCGGCGCGTCTAAGATTCTGACGTCACATGAAGTTGTATGCATGTTGCTTTACCAAATCGAAGCCTGAACAGGGCTCATTTTAATGAAGAACCGTTTTATTGACTATTTTTCTGCAACAAATTCATTAAATCAAGACAAGTTTATTATTCTTTTTAATATTTGCTCTTATTCGCGCGAGACATTGCTTCTTTTGTGTATGAAGCGATGCATTGTGCATCTAAATTACAGTGGAAAAAATCTATCGAATGAATGTGCAGTAGTTCGAATTTTCCTTTCCCCCAGGTGTTGTCATTAGAACTCGCAGTGACGAGTGTCGCTTCAAGATGCTCGCTATAAATTCCTAGAATCAACTCAGCTGGTTGCAAATAATTAATGGTGGTTTAACTAAAATTGCTTAGTAAATATTGATAGAAGAAAATTAATTGGCACACAAGTGTAATTTCTTTTTATAGTCTATATCATCTATGAATCATATTGCTTTAAAAATAAATCAAGAAATTGGAGATTTTCAAGTAAAAGTTAATTAAGTTGCCTAGGGATACACTAAAGTAGCACAAGCATTCATCGCTAGGGCTCGAGTCTCTGTCGTCAAGGAAGTAAGGCTCTCGGCCTTCATGTAACTCTGAAACCAAAAATAGTACATTCATATCAATATAAAATATATTTTGTGAAATTTCATACATGTTCAACAACAAGAGGCCCTGGGGCCACAGCGCTCACCTGAGCACATCGGCTAGGAAAAGGCACATATCAGATCAGAACTGAAAGTTTACTGAGGTTGGAGGGGGGGGGGCTTAAATTTTAACCCCTTCCCCCAGGGGGTCATGATTTGAACAAATTAGAATCTTCACTACCTGAGGATGATTCCAAATAAATATCATTAATCATGGCTTTGAAGTTCTTGAAATGAAGATTTTTAAAGATTTCCCTATTTATTCCAATGAAAAACTTTGATCAACTATTTCGGCCCCACCCTACCCCCAGGGGTCATGATTTGAACAAACTTGAATCTACACTGCCTGAGGATAATTTCACATGAGTTTCATCTTTCCTGTCTCAGTGGTTCTTGAGAAGAAGATTTTTAAAGATTTTTCCTATATATTCCTATGTAAAACTTTGATCGGCCATTTTGGCCCCACCCTACCCCTGAGGGTCATAATTTGAACAAACTTGAATCTTCACTACCTCAGGATGATTCCACATTAGTTTCATCTTTCCTGGCCCGGTGGTTCTTGAGAAGAAGATTTTTAAAGATTTTTCCTATATATTTCTATGTAAAACGGCCATTATGGCTCCACCCTTGCCCCGGGGGTCATGATTTGAACAAATTTGAATCTACACTACCTGAGGATAATTTCACATGAGTTTCATCTTTCCTGTCTCAATGGTTCTTGAGAAGAAGATTTTAAAAGATTTTTCCTAGATATTCCTATGTAAAACTTTGATCGGCCATTTCGGCCCCACCCTAGCCCCGGGGGTCATGATTTGAACAAATTTGAATCTACAATATCTGACGATGATTCCACATTAGTTTCATCTTTCCTGGCCCAGTGGTTCTTGAAAAGAAAATTTTTAAAGATTTTTCCTATATATTTCTATGTAAAACTTTGATCGGCCATTATGGCCCCACCCTAGCCCGGGGGTCATGATTTGAACAAACTTGAATCTACACTACCTGAGGATAATTTGACATGAGTTTCATCTTTCCTGTCTCAATGGTTCTTGAGAAGAAGATTTTTAAAGAGTTTTCCTATATATTCCTATGTAAAACTTTGATCGGCCATTTCGGCCCCACCCTAGCCCCGGGGATCATGATTTGAACAAATATGAATCTACACTACCTGAGAATGATTCCACATGAGTTTCATCTTTCTTTTCTCAATGGTTCTTGAGAAGAAGATTTTTAAAGATTTTTCCTATATATTCCTATGTAAAACTTTGATTGGCCATTTTGGCCCCACCCTAGCCCCGGGGGTCATGATTTGAACAAACTTGAATCTACACTACCTGAGGATGATTCAACATTAGTTTCATCTTTCCTGGTGCAGTGGTTCTTGAGAAGAAGATTTTTTAAAAATGCCATTAATTTTTCTCTTATTCATGATTATCTCCCCTTGGAAAAGGGCGTGGCCCTTCATTTGAACAAACTTGAATCCCCTTCATTCAAGGATACTTTGTGCCAAGTTTGGTTGAAATTGGCCCAGTGGTTCTTGAGAAGAAGATGAAAATGTGAAAAGTTTACGGCGACAGCGACAACAACGACGACAACAACGACAGACAACGGACAAATTTTGATCAGAAAAGCTCACTTGAGCCTTCGGCTCAGGTGAGCTAAAAAGTGAAAAAAATAACTGTTAATGCCTGCTGCTTGTTCAAACAAGGATATGGCTGAGCATTACCTTGCAAAAGAGTACAAAGATCCCGATTGATATAAATTACTACTACATAACTTTCGTTACACATGCCACATTCTTGCACACAAATGACTTATATTCCCTCAAACTTAATTGTGATGGAGAGAATGAGCAAGTTTATTTTCTGTAAAAACCTACGCTAAGTGCATTAAATTCTTTTTTTTTTTATATATGAATCCACTAGAATGTGCACAATTTCTCATTTGTCTCCTCTTAAAAGAGGGCATGTCTCTTCATTTAAACAAACTTGAATCCCCTTCACCCTACGATGTTTAGTGGCAAGTGACTAGTCTGGTCAAATTTGACTCTGCGAGTCTGGAGATGTCAAAAAAATTAAATCGATTTGATCTTGTTTTTTTTTTTTAATCTTTTACTTTTAGTTTTCCTCTCATGATTTCGCATTCCAAATTGATAGTCAATATAATGTGAGAATTTTTGCAAATATTATTTCTTTCTATTACCTTATTTATTGAATTATTTCACTCTTTTTAATATCAGACCAACGGTAATGAAATGTGTTAATTTTTTTGTTTAGCAATATCATAATAAATTATAAACAAATTTTGTTGTTTATCTTATAATAAAATTTCTCCATATAATTTAATTGTGAGCACTTTGCACTTTTTTATTATGTTCATTCTGACTAATTCTTATGAATTTGACCTCCAAGTGTTTTACAGGAAAATTTCATGATAATAAAAAAATATCAGGAAGAGAAGTCTAATCAAGTACAAAATCAAATAAGTGAAAAGTTCAAATCACACAAGTTTGCCACATTTAAATTCATCTCACTAGAAAGAAGCTGATGTGTGTAAAATATTTGAAGAAAAGATAGTTGTAAGAAATTTGCAGAAAGCAGGAAAAAGTATCGAGAGGATCATGAGCCACATAGCTCACCTTAGCACTTTTTTCTTTCAAATAAAACTTTGCTTTTATTATCATGATTTTCAAAAAGGGTTTAAATTATACTTGAAATGTGAACAATATCTGCCTACTGTAAATATCACTCATTTTTGTTGTGTTAAAATTTTGTTGTTTTCGTGGCACAAACAGAGTCTTGACTTCAAGTCCATTAGGAAATGCTATACATATTGTACATATCAT